ACCTTGAATGCAATATTAATATTATTGACTAGTAACTTCAATTTGTGGTTTGAATTATATTAAAGGATAAGGTTATGCCTTTATAAATTTCTTTAGTGGTTAGAGTATTACATAAGTTTTATTTATGCAATTTGTGTTACACCATAAATTGTTAAGGTTGTAAATATAAAGGATGGGAATTGCGTTTCAAATTTATGTAGTGAATATTAAGACTAAAGTAGTTTTAATTAGTATGGATATTTTAGAGATGTATTAATAATATTTTATCAAAATGTTACCAGTGCAATAGTATTTGTTCGAATAATAATATTTGTGATATAAATATTTAGAAACCAGAAACATTCAGATGGCAAAAAATTCTACTTTTTTAATGGATACCATGATATTTTAAGTTCCTTATTTTTGGAAAGATATTATTAAATTATGAAATGCTTTTAAAAGTTATAAAGGTAAAATTAAACAATTTTGCTTTTATTTGATTATAAAATAATTAGTGTTTAGAAAAAAGAATGTCCAAACTTTGAATGAAAAGCGCCCTCTAAAGATTTAGATTGTAAAACCTAATTATAAAATTGGAAATTGAATATTAATACTTCAACTTATGTTGAACTGTGTTAATCTGCTGACAATAATTCTTATAAATCTCATTAATAATGTGAATCCTATTTTCATAATAAAAGACGCACTTTAAAAGTAGGTTTAATTAAGTTTGTTGATTTACCATTATCTTAGCTTTAGCTTAAAAAACGCAATGTTTCCAAGATTCAAATGGAAGTAAATGTTACTATTTTATGTCTAAAATACATGCGTTGATTAAACTTATTTAGCTCTAGAAATGAAAACATTTTTTAACCGAAATCAGAGACTTAAGAAATGTACAGTTAATAATATTCTTAATGGATACTAGATAATTGATAATTATACTGTTAAAGACTAATGTTAAATAAACAATCCATTCTAGGAATGCCAATGAATTTTTAGTCGAAATATATTTATAATCATTTTATTCAAGTTACAAGAAAAAATAAAGATTAGTAAATAGAATTTATAAATTTCAATATTTCTATTATAGATTATTTTATCATTTAAACTAGATAATCAATATTCTAAAAATATTAAATATGATATTTAATCTTCTGTTATTGAATTTTAGTGATAAAAAAAAACTATATTGATATATTTACAAAAATAAAAATACTTTACATTAATGTTCAACTGCATAATTAATTAATTATTCAGTCTGATTTTGTTAATAATATTGATAAAAATTATGTACAATTAATTAATTGTTTGATGGATGTATTAAATAATTGTTATGAATATTCATAAATTTAATGTATCAATGGAGAAATGCTAAACTTTATTGAAATACCTAGTCTTTAGAATAAAGTCAAAATTTAATGTGTTGAATATATTTGCCAAAATGGACTTCTTACTACTTAAACCCATAATAATGTATAGAATTTAAAAAGTAGTTGTTTAAAATGTAAGTATAAATAAAAAAGTTATTAAATTTTCAATTGATTAAGGTTGTGAATAACTTTTTGATGATAAAAGGTGCGCCTCAAATGATAAATCTTGCATTCATAGATAGTAATGTGAAGATGTTTCAAATAATATTTATGAACTTTTGATATAAATTTAAAGTCTTGTTATTGGATAAATAATTAATGTAAAATGTGTTTATAATAAGGATAACTATTCAAGTATCGTATATAATTTCTTTGCCTTTCTTATTGAAGACTATATTAAATCCCACCCATGTACCAACTTTGTTTCCTTTAATATTATATTCACCACTATAAGTTACTTAATTCCAATCTCTAAATCCTTCATCCAGCTCTACCCATTATCCAATCTTAATTTCGGAAGAAATATCATAAGATCCTCCCCCACTAACATTTAAATAATTTAAATTATACATTTACTGATCCCAAGCTACAGTATTCCATCTACCTACTTTCATACCATTTATATTATATTCACCATTAAATGTAACTTATTTCTCAAAATAAAATTCTTTGTCTAATTCTATCCATTTTCCAATCTTATTTCCTTTAGCATTATCATATGAACCTCCAGCACTAGTATTTAAAATTAATATTTACATTAATTGATAATTTTTCTCCCAAAAGTTGCAATACAAAATATCCCATCTACCAAATTTTATACCCTTCATATTATATTCACCCACATATGTAATTTACTTTTCTAAGTAAAATCCTTTGTCAAGTTCTATCCACTTTCCAATCTTTATTCCCTAGGAACTATCATATAATCCTCCCCCACTAACCTATTATACTTTAATATTAACATTAATTTAAGTTTTTTCTAATTAATATTACAATATAAAATATCCCAAAGACCTACCTTTATACCTTTTATGTTATACTCTCCCTTATAAATAACTTAAGAATAATCCCAAAATCTGTCATCTAATTCAGTCCATTTACCTTTCTTTTAACCTTTCCCTCTATATAGCCCACCATCACTAAATAATAAGGTAAATTATTACATCTTATTATTTTCATAAATATAATTCCATTTACCTATTTTTAAATCATTTTAGTATTCTCCTGTTTCAAAAATTTAAGCTTTTCTATTTATTATTGCAATCTTTTAACTTACTTCCAATAATTTTTTATTAGTTCTTTCCATAATCCTTGCTTTAAATCATCTTGATAGTATCCTCCTGTTTTATTTAGAGCCTTTCCATCCCAAAAAGCAATTGACTAGCCATTTTTCTTTTTTTTCAATCCATTTTAAAATTGCCAAGATAAATATTTAATCTGTTCCAGATTATTTAGTAATTGGATTTTCTTTGTTTCATTTACTTATTCTCTTTAAAGTTAGAATCATCATTACTTTCTCAAAATTACTCCATCTTTAAAATACATAATTTCATGATCTTATGTAAATTGAAGCGAAACTCTTANGGATAAATAATTAATGTAAAATGTGTTTATAATAAGGATAACTATTCAAGTATCGTATATAATTTCTTTGCCTTTCTTATTGAAGACTATATTAAATCCCACCCATGTACCAACTTTGTTTCCTTTAATATTATATTCACCACTATAAGTTACTTAATTCCAATCTCTAAATCCTTCATCCAGCTCTACCCATTATCCAATCTTAATTTCGGAAGAAATATCATAAGATCCTCCCCCACTAACATTTAAATAATTTAAATTATACATTTACTGATCCCAAGCTACAGTATTCCATCTACCTACTTTCATACCATTTATATTATATTCACCATTAAATGTAACTTATTTCTCAAAATAAAATTCTTTGTCTAATTCTATCCATTTTCCAATCTTATTTCCTTTAGCATTATCATATGAACCTCCAGCACTAGTATTTAAAATTAATATTTACATTAATTGATAATTTTTCTCCCAAAAGTTGCAATACAAAATATCCCATCTACCAAATTTTATACCCTTCATATTATATTCACCCACATATGTAATTTACTTTTCTAAGTAAAATCCTTTGTCAAGTTCTATCCACTTTCCAATCTTTATTCCCTAGGAACTATCATATAATCCTCCCCCACTAACCTATTATACTTTAATATTAACATTAATTTAAGTTTTTTCTAATTAATATTACAATATAAAATATCCCAAAGACCTACCTTTATACCTTTTATGTTATACTCTCCCTTATAAATAACTTAAGAATAATCCCAAAATCTGTCATCTAATTCAGTCCATTTACCTTTCTTTTAACCTTTCCCTCTATATAGCCCACCATCACTAAATAATAAGGTAAATTATTACATCTTATTATTTTCATAAATATAATTCCATTTACCTATTTTTAAATCATTTTAGTATTCTCCTGTTTCAAAAATTTAAGCTTTTCTATTTATTATTGCAATCTTTTAACTTACTTCCAATAATTTTTTATTAGTTCTTTCCATAATCCTTGCTTTAAATCATCTTGATAGTATCCTCCTGTTTTATTTAGAGCCTTTCCATCCCAAAAAGCAATTGACTAGCCATTTTTCTTTTTTTTCAATCCATTTTAAAATTGCCAAGATAAATATTTAATCTGTTCCAGATTATTTAGTAATTGGATTTTCTTTGTTTCATTTACTTATTCTCTTTAAAGTTAGAATCATCATTACTTTCTCAAAATTACTCCATCTTTAAAATACATAATTTCATGATCTTATGTAAATTGAAGCGAAACTCTTATTTTTACAAAATTACATTCATCCCATTAATCAACTTCATATACATAGAAATCTTGCTTTTTTAATACGATTTTCTCTAAGCCAAAAAAGGGATTATCAATTTAATAATCCATTTTGAAACAATTTCAATTTGATTTATATTTTACATATTATACATCGATTTTCTTTTGGTTTATTAATGCTTTATGGATGGAATAAATGATTAAAATCTATTTTTGGATTATAGCTATTTTGAAAAATGTTTGAGATTTAAATAATTCTTATCAAAATACCTAACAAAAAACTATTTGATTAGTTTTTTCACAATCTATCTATAAATGAAAAATAAATCATTAATTATAAAGAAACACAATATATATTATTTTATTAATTAAAATTAATTCAATTAATTTTTCTTGAAATATACATTAAAAAATTATTTTAAATTGAAATCATCATTTTTTAAAGATCTGTTTTTAAGTGCATAAATTGTTTGACCTTTTAAAAAAAGCAAGAACTTCACAGAAATAGTTAGACTTTTCAAGTAATTCCTTTTTCTTTCTTGCTTTTAATTTTCTTTCAGTAAAAATAGTTTTTTTTGCATAATCTTTCTGTTTGGCTAATGTATATATAAACTAGTTTAACAATAAAGGTTCTGCTAATTATTGATTGCTCAGAAGTCATCTTTAGATGCAGCAAAGAAAATAATTTTACTGTTATTTTTGAAATACCAAACCATAATTCAATCTTTACAATTCTTTTGTGCTTATTAATGATGAAGTAGGTAAATAAATCAAACATAGTTATTATCATCTAAAAATCTCAATTATATTATGCAACTAAGTGCAATTAAGGGAATATTTGTTGTTGATGGACTGGAATGTGGGCTTTGTATTTAATTGCCTGATTTCCACTATAAGTAAATAATGATTTATTAACTTATGTTTGGGTTAATTTTAAAATAAGGATATTTTTTCCAATATTCTCTGGTCGTTATTTAGTTCGTATTTAATTTGCGAATTATTCTATAGGTTATTCCAATACTCCTGATTTTGTTTATGACAATTCAACTTTAGATTTATTAATTTATTTAAAACAATTATGACAACTTCATAAATTTCAATAGTTTCTTATTCATGCGGTGGCGGATCATTTGATGAAGGAAAAAATTATAATAAGATTGGTAGATGGGTGGAGTTGCGAAAAATTTTAAACGACGAATATAATATGAAAGGTATGAAAATTAGTAAATGGGTGCATATGGATATAAGGGAGAATAAGAAACTAAATGAATACAATTATGATAATTAGAGAGAAAAAAAATGATATGTTGAATATAAGAAATATTCTCTTTTTGTGTTTATTTTTTAATATATAATCTTTATGATTATCAATATTATTTTTTTTATTCTTTTAAAAAATATTTTGATATTTGAGGGTTTTATAAAATTTTTTTTGATGGCTTTAAGTTTTTTTTTTTAATTTAAATTACATATTCTTAAAATGGCTGGTCTATTGTTGTTAAAATCGCAATAAAAAAGTATGGGTCAGTACAATTTTTTTCTATATAAGGTAGTTAGACAATATAGAAAAATTTTTTATTATTTTTTGAAGGAAAAATGTAAGGCTCTGGCATTTCAATATTGTAATTACATTTGCGAGGTCTTCTAGGCAACATCCTTTTTCATCAGAAAAGACATGATATTTGTGGAATCTTATAATCCTTTTTTTTTTTTTTTGAGAAAAAATAAAGAAGATACATCAAATCAAATATAAATTTAACCCTACAAAAATGTATCATTCAATCTTTAAATGGCTTTATATATAAATTAAATCCATCGAAAACAGTGTTAATTGTTTTTTAAACCAAATACCCTAGTATTAATTGATTAATTATAGACTATTTTAATTTATAAAAAAAATAGAATATTTCATATCATGCTTCTATTGAAGCATCAATTAATTCAGTAAAAGAATATATCCCATCTACCAAATATTTTACTATTTCTATATTCTCTAAAATAAGAAAGTTAAGAATCACTTCCATAATCATGAATCAACTCAACCTATCTACCTATTTTTTTGGAGCCTGTGACGCTAAGTAACTTTTAATCATCATATAACTTACAACCACTAAAAGTTTATTTTTTATGTATATTTTTACTTCTATAAAAATTTTAAAATATCCCATTTACCGACTTACTTCCAGTTGTTCTATTCTCCGTTATAAATCACCAAACTTCTAAAAAAAAAATACATTTATAAATATTCCCAAACAACATCATTTAGCTCAAACTATTTGCCATTTTTTTAACCTTGCTCATTATAATATCCCTCATAGCTAAAAAAATAAAAATAAATACATCCAAATATTCTCATAAATATAATTCCATTTAAAGTTATTGAAATATTATCCAAATTCAAAATCTTATGCTTCTCTAATTTATAAATCTAAAATACGTTTAATAATTTTTATTAGTTCTTCCCATAAGCCTTGCTTTAATCAGTTATGAGAGTATAAATTTTTTTAAATATTTTATAAAATTAGACTATAATATACACCTACTCCTTTAAAAACTTCACCTTTCCAAATTGGAATTCATTTTTCAATTTTTGTTATCCTACCCAAATTCTTTCCCCATATATATTATAAATTTATTCCAAATTACTTAATACTTCTGGATGAGAAAAAGCATTTTTCACTTCAACTCTTTTTTTATTATTTAACTCATACACTCTCTAAATTACTCCATCTTTATAATATATTATTTGATAATATTTTTTAGTTTAAGTTTTATATTTTCTTTTTGAAAAGCTAAAGATATTATAATTATCATTTTATTATATCAAAGGCGCTAGCTAATTAGGTTAGCATCTAGTTATTTATATACTATTTATTAGCCTTTGTGAAATTCAAATAGCTGAAAAAAGAATCTTAATAAATAATCCTTGACAGGATTTAGTGATTACAGCAACCTTTTTCAAGTATAATGCTATTATCATATTTATCAAATAAATGAATTAAATCTTATTACTTGAATCCTTAATAATCACCATTTAGAGGATGATTATGAAATTAGTAGTAACAAGCTCACATCTAATTAAAATTACGTCAAAAAGCTATTTGTGTAATAGGGCACACTTTTCAAATTTATTTGTAAATCTTTAATAATAATCCTTTTAGAACATTTATAGCTGAACACTATTTTAGAAAACCAATCTGTTATTGAGAAAGAGCAGTCATTTTGTGAAAAATTATACACTGCAGCTTTGCTAAAACTTCTGTAACTAATATGGGCCTAAAGAGAAATGTTGATTTAGATGTACTTACTTTTTTTCAGTGATCAGAATCAAAAACATAATAGGTTACCGAATTGTTAAATTTTTTGGAGCAACTTTAGATAGGAAAAGAAAAATCAAGTATTTTTTTATTCAATACGATTTCTAAGCCTTAACTCTTAAGAATTTTAAATTTCGCTTTTTATATTTAAATTATAATTCCTTAAGTATTTAATAAATTAATTCATTTATAATTGTTTAAAATAATAATAAAATAAATGATAATATTAGTATAGTTTTTATCCGATAATAATTCTATTGAATTATATTAATGTGGAAATAGCTTACAATAAAATTTAAGATTGGTAAGTTTCCTAATTATAATTAAAATATTTTGGATTCATCTGTTATGCTTTATTAAAATCAAATTGTGCACAGTAAAGGTGAATCTTGTCTCTTTAAGCTAGAAGAGAAATTTTAATATGTTACTCAAAAGAAGTTCTACTTCAAGAAATCTAATTTAAATTTTATCGAAATATATGATTTGAAGAGTTATTAAATTGATAAAATTCCATAACCTCAGTCTTAGATATTAATTCAATATTCTTAAGTTTTTAAAAAAACATCCTAATAACAAAATTATGATTATAGAAGTCCTAAACTAGAGGAATATTGGTGTGATTATAAAAATAATTCATTCGTTTCCTAAAATAATTTTTGTTATTAACTTATTAAAGTTAATTTTAGCACTTATTAAAAAATATGTGATTTTTATGCAAAGATATCTTAATCGAGATATGCAATATACCAAAGACGCTCTGCATTAATTTTGGTCTTCCTAATTTTTGAACAATATTCTGAAATTAATACAAGTTTAGCAATCTTATTTTTAAGACACATTTATATTCATATCGATCTAATTATGCTTTCACTATAATTTAATGGCTATAAATTCTATGGGTTATAGCAATCCTAAAAATATTCCATGAAAAGTTAATTTTAGGTTTTTTGAAAAGAATCTAATTGAATTAGGTAAAGCAGTAAGAATTTAAAAACAAAGTACAAGCAAAATTTTTTCTTGTTTTTTTAAAATGATAATAGGAAAATTAAAACAACTTTGCTACAAATTTTAAATATTATGAATTAAAGCTAGAAAGTTTTGTTGTAAGATGATTATGTTTATTAAATAGTACTTAAATGTTTTTGAATTATCTATGAAAATTTTAAAGATAAAGATAAATCTATATAATAAATATAGAATTTTTTTAATAATTTATTCATGAGTTTGTAATTTAAACTATTTTTCTCGGCTAATAAAAATTATAAATAATTATAATATAATGGATTCATAATAAGAACAAATTTTGCAAGACTTTTAAGATTATATTTCTAAAAAGGTTTAATTGAACGTGCTTTGTAATTATGGATTAAGTGATAGCATCTAAGAATATGAAATTTCTTCTTGGAACTTTCGTATGGCCCGATGGGTCAAGAAAAAGATTTAAATAAAATTAAGTGAGAAGAATGAAATAGAATTCATAATGTCTGAATCAATTCTACAAAAGTAAATCAATCTTTCAATAAATATAAAGAACAGACATATCTGATATTTTTGAGATGCCCTAATTGTTGACTAATATGGAATAGATTAAATATCTTAAGTGGTTAGGAAAATACGGAGATGATAGAAGAAAAATTGGTCAGTGGAGAGCTACTTGGTAAAGAGAGATTCTTTTGAATGTTGGTGGGTATTATAGTTAAATATAAAAATTATCTTGAAATTAGATTCTACGATGTTGATGGATAAAAGTAAGGACTCTGGAAAGAACTAATATAAAATTTTTGGTCGTAAGTTTTTGTTAATAATTATTAATAGTGAAGCTCAAGTATTTTAAATAGGAGAATATTGGTAAAGTAAGAAAATAGGAATATGGAGATATATTTATAAAGATAATATAATGTACTACATTTAATAAATATTTTAGTGGTGGAGGTCGATATAATGAGAAAGGTTTAAAAAATGGAAAATGGATTGATTTGAGTCACAGATTTTGGAAGTATCTTTTTTTAAGAGAATAACTATTAGTCAGAATTAATTGATGTATGTGGGAGAATATATAAATGATTTAAAAGTTGGTCAATGGGAAATTTGGTATAAAAAATATTAGGGAAATAAAAAATTAATACAGATGTAATTGAGTGATATTTAAAGTATTATTTTAATTTTGTCAAACTTAAAAACAGTGGTGGTGGAAGCTATATTATCATAAAGGGAGTTAATGGTATTGCAAGTTCATAAAAGATTGGAATATGGGTTGAGTTTGGTAATTCTTTTTTCAAGTATTTATGTTTAGTATTAAATTATTAGTTAGAATCCAGTAACATATTATGGGCAATATAGATATGGTAGAAAAGTTGGTTAATGGGATATATGGTTAAAGAGTTTAAATATTTATTGTAGAGATGAAAAAATGTAAGAATTAAAAAATTTAAATCTAATTTTCCTTGAAATAAAAAGTGGAGGTGGATAGTATTGCGAAAATTCAGAATATTATGATTGCAATATGGAGTCAATAAAGATTGGAAGGTGGATTGAATTGAATGAGGAGTAATTTTTATTTGAAGTAATAAATTTTTTAGAAATTGTTTATTCACTTATAATGGTGAATATAAAAATGGTAGAAAAGTTGGAAAATGGGATATTTATTATCGAAATAACAGGATGTAAGATTATATATTGAAAGACTCAAAGTGGTGGAGGATAATATGATGAAGAAGAACAAATTGATAGTAAAAAAGGATCAGTTAAATTTGGAAGATGGATTGAATTGAGCGATGCATTTTCTAAGTTTATTTGTGGATTATTCCAATATTAGTGATAGCTTCCTTACTTAAAATGGTGAATATAAAAATGGTAGAAAAGTTGGAAAATGGGATATTTTTTATTGCAATAACAGGATGTAACTATCAAATGATAATATTTTTCTCTTCCTCAAATAAAATTGGATAATTAAAGTGGTGGTGGATCATATTATGATACTCAGGATTATGTGTAAGGTGCTTAGAATTAGATAAAGATTGGAAAGTGGATTGAGTTGAGTGATGGATTCTACAAGTATCAATTCGAATAAGTATTAGTTTGAGCTAAGTCACTTATGTAGGAGAATATATAGAAGGTAAAAAAGTTGGTAGATGGGATATTTGTTGGAATTGGGGAGTAGATCAAAAAATGTAATTCTTTAAAATATTTTAATAAACAGAGCTGGAGGATCATATGATGATTCTAGAAAGATTGGGCAGTGGATAGAATTATGTGATGGATTTTCAAGGTAAGATTATATGGATCATTAAATTATTAGAGATTATTAAGTCACTTATACAGGTTCATATGAAAAGGGCAGGAAAGTTGGTAGATGGGATACTTTATATTCAAATTAATTATTGTATACCAATTAAATATTATTTTTAAGTGGTGGAGGATCATATGATGAAATTCAAGATTGCTCTGATAATGCAGAAAATTCAATTAAGACAGGAGATTGGATAGAATTAAGTGATAGATTTTATTGGGATAATCAAATCGCTCTAAATGGTACATATAAAAATGGTAGAAAAATTGGTTTATGGTATATGATTGATTTAGATGGAGATAAAATAATGTAAGATATTTTATAAATTACATTTTAAGTGATGAAATAAAATATGATGGTTGAAAAGAGATTAATTATATTTCATCTAGTAGTTGATATATCTAGTATCAAAATCAAAGATTTTATACTGTTGTTAATAACTTGCTGTGTCTCATTCAATTTTTTCTCATAATATTATTTTCTAATCAATTACTATTTCTGCAAACTGATGTAATCCTGTTTAAAGAAATAAAAATCAATTTTAATGTTGAATTTAATAAATTTAACAACCACTGTCACATTCTTTAGTCTTTTACTTTCTTTTAGTTGCTTTTCTATTTATCTCTTTTTCCTTCCAAAGTCTATTAAACATCATATTATATTCCTCTTTCAAGTTTATTTTATATTATAAAATATTTAGTTTAGGTCTCAACACCTTATTGAACAAATTAATGTTTGATTTGAACTAAAATGAAAGGATAAATTGGTTATCTTGATATCTTCAGATAATATTCTTTTGAGGATGCCACCAGCTATAGCATTTCTTTATTAATATTAAAGCCCTTTTTAATTCTGCACTAACCAATATTTTCATTTTGCTGACTTTAATCGAGTAAATTATTTAATCAAACTTAAATTAGTAATATAGTAGCTCTTTTGATGAGCAATAATAAAATTTGTAGTCAAATATATGGAGCTATGAAGACACTATATTTAACTCAAAATATATTACTTGAAATTTATTTTAAATATACTCTTAGTATATATGTCATTTATTCTTTTTGAAAACGAGGTCAACTAATGAATGATATGTAGAGATTTGTAGAAGAAACATCAGGTTTAACATTAATAATCGATAAGTTTGCCTTATGAAGCAGATAATTATAATTAAATTGTTTAAAGATAGATTTATTTTGATGATCAAAAATTTGAAAAATTAATTGTTTCTAGATGGAAAATTCACACACATGGTATTAAAATGGAAACTCAATTATCCCAAAAATTCTAACATAAGAAGAATTAAACTATAAATTATTAGTTCAAACATCAAAATATAAAATTTAAGAAAAATAAATCGATAAAAGAAATACTTCTTAATTTGTTTGATTAGAATGCTAATTTTGTTTACAAATTATTTTATCATTAAAAGTGAATTTTTATTAAAATTTAACTAGAATAACTTATATTTGCTTTTAGAAAAATATTTCTATAATGCATGGTTATTTAAAAGTAATTCGAATATTTTATTTATAAATCAATTGCTCGAATAAACTGTAGAATAACTTTACCACAAAAAAACCCTTATTTATTATAATATTCCTTCTATTTAAATTATTGTTCGGTAAAATTATTGAAATGATCAAATCTGAAATTAGTTAAAAAATTTTCCAATTTATCAATGCATTAGAATATTGTGCATAAGCTAAAAGGTATGGTTTTTTTATTGTAAATGGGAACTTTTTCTGCAATTGAAGATTTTAAGATATTGTACAAAATTTAAATAATTTTGCAAAAATATTTCAAATTGATAAAAATTTATCCTAAAACTTTTTAATATAATTTAATTTTTAAGATAGATAAAAATTTATCATAAATTATCAATAATATTTAATTTTTATATTAATAGAGTGTTATTAACTAAATAACTGTAGTCATCAATTTATTAAAAAAAAAGTGTTTAATTTTAGTATATTAAAAAATGTTTTAATATTTATTGTTATTTAATCTGGTTTTAATTAAAAAAATATAAAATATAATTTATTAAAAATTTAT